TTTTATTCTGCAGTGTGAGTGGCTGCTGGGAGACAGGAAACCATCTCCAGAAGATCTAGATAAAGGAATAGACACCAACAGTCCACTGTTTCAAGCTATTCTGGAAAACCCTGTGGTTCAGCTGGGTCTAACAAATCCCAAGACTCTGTTAGGTATAACCCGACATAATATAGCTGAAAGTCAAGATCAGCTGGTAAAAGTTTTGATTCTACATGACTAGAAGTAATCAGATGAGTAAAGTTAACTCTGCTGAATTTAGGGATCTCCTGATTTAAGGTGTACAGGTACTTTTTCCACATAGAGACAAGTTTATTAGGATCACTTTAAATATGTTTTTCTGTTTATTTTGGATTTTGTTAACTAATAATAAATCATATCTGATGATCTGAACCATTAAATGAACGGAGCTGCTGTAGGTCATTTAGAGACCTCTGTAACAATTTTAGTTTTTTTCTTTTTTTTGTGCAGCATTTGAAGACATGCTGGAGAATCCTCTGAACAGCACCCAGTGGATGAACGACCCCGAGACCGGCCCCGTCATGCTCCAAATATCCAGAATCTTCCAGACCCTCAATCGCACATAGAGCCTGCTGATTACCCTCGTGTGATTGTGGCAGCTCGTGTGTATGTATGATCAGAGCAGGACGTGTGAACGGATGTAACACAAATAGAGTTTACCTTTTTTTTTTTCCTGCCTTGTAAAGGAAAAGCCAGATGAGTTGAAAGTTTGAATTAAAATGTTACACTATTTATAACGATACAATAAAATTGCCTATACAAAACAGATGATATTATCATTACAGTAATATTTAAAGACAGATTTAATATGTTCTTTTTACATATTGAAAACAACCTAAATATATGACAGACAGTTTTTTTCTGGAATTTCTCTATGAAGAAATGATAGCAGGCATCAATTTAATGTTTACACTTTAAAGAAAAAACTGTTTTTTAATGATTTGCAATATTTAAACCTCATTACAGTCGTCTCGGTTTTCTTTGAAATGTTACAGTTTATCAGTGGTGAATGTAAGGAGGAGTTCTGTCATGTTCAGGCTTCTACTTCCATCAGGAGAGCAGGATGCTGTCTGAGCTCAAAGCACACTTTCAGTTGCACTTCTTGGTTCAGCGTTTTAACATACACTCATCAATGGGATGTTTAATTACCTCGTACTTTTATTTGCATAGAAGTTCTGCTTTAAAAAATATTCACGCAGGATCCAAATTAAAAAATGCATGCATGTTATATCTCCATATATTCCCACCAGTATTTTGTTATAAGACCCTCTGGTTGTGGGGTGTTCACCTCGTGCTTTTTGCAGCCACAAAATTAGCTTCTGGTGTAAATTAACTTGATTTTGAACCGCTTCTCTTGAGAGAACTGGAAGATTTATTGGGTTTAAATGGTTAAAGTTGTTCAGGTTAAACGTAGAATCCACAGATTTTCTAAAGGGTGGGTTCCTGGCTTTGGGACAGCTATTCTAGAAACCTGCTTTATCCATTTCAGAACCACTTCTAAAGTGTTTCATCCATTAAGCCATGGATTGGAAAGCTAAATATATACAAGAATAAAAATAATAAAAAACCTTTCCTCAATATTTAGTCCACTTTATGCAAAGCAGAGGTACTGCTTGCAGTGAAAGAGCCCCAACAGCATGATACCGCCACCACTATGTATTATAGTAGATTTAGTATGGTTTACTACTAAACTCATCGAGGCCAAACAGCTTAGTCTTTAGTGTTTTTTTCAGGCGGCGTCAATCTTGTTTGATTGGGAAGCTAAGGTGACGATTTTGGAGACGGGGCCTCTATCCTAAACAGCACTGGCTTGGTCCAAACTAATAAAAAAAGTTGGTCAGGAGTGTCTTTAACTTCACTAGTTAGAGTAATCCTTCAGGACAGACATTTGTGCTTCCTGTTAGGATAATGATCCTGAACATTTTTAATTAGCTTTAGAATCCAGTTAGAATTCTAAAGCAAAGCATCTAGAATCGGCTTCAACCAGGTCCAATCCGGAAATCCAACCATTTCATAGAAGCTCAGCAGTTCTACCTAGAAAAGTGGTGGATTGTATTGTCCACATTATTCCAGAAGCCTTTTAATGGCTAAAACAAACGTTGAATATTAGTGTGGATGTGTGTTTATGTTTCAGCTTGTATAGATCAGAGGAAATTTACAAGAAATGTCATTCTGGTTCTTGGTTCTATCCTTATTTCATGGTAAAAAAAAAAAAAGTATAATTATTAATAATGAGATTCAGGCCAATGATGAGTGTCTGTAAACCTCTGACTGGAACTGTGCTTAATTACCTCTCTCCATTTACACTCAGTAAGTCAAACACCTCTCACCCAACAGGGGGAAACTTTTGTCAGTTTCAAACATAAATTTTTTTTTGCCTTTTCAGAGAGACCTTGTACTCTAAATTGCATTTTGGTCCTGATTTAGTTAAGAGTATGTCACAGTAGGCCTGTGTGCGTTTGTGGTCGATGTGGACTTGAATGTCTTTCTATCTGCGCCTCCTTAGCACTTCTTTGAACACTGCTCACTGCAGCACAGATCGCGTCAAAGCGTGGATTGTGGGCCGCCCGAAACGTCTGGAGTCCGTCAGTAAATGGAAACGGAGGGGGGTTGCCTTTTTAAACCTTAAATATGAATCTTTGAATGATAATGATGTGATCAGATCATGTTGCTGGGGTACAAACATCTTTATACACACAAAGACACAAGTTGGAACGTAACCAGCAGATCTTTTTAGTTTCCAGTTTGTTTGTTTTTTCTTCTGAGAGCAATGAACACCTTATGCTGTCAAACAAACCAAAATGTTCCTGTATGTCATGCCTTGTCACTAGTTCTACCCAGTGGAGGAAAAAAAAAAGTGTATTTCTGTGCAATAGTAAAGACTTAAAGATATGTATCTGATCTGAGTATTAGTCCTATTTAAACTGAAAGGGTTAGTGTTTTCTAATGTTAGCCTTTGCATCGAGTACTCATGATCTCCAGCTGAATGTTGGAGCTTTTTGAGCTTATACTAAAAAACCGATACGAAAGGTGGCACGCCTTTGTTTTGTTTTGTTTTTTTTTGCCAAGCTTTTGAGTGTTTTTATTCTATATTTAAAATGTAGTACTGATGTGACTTTCTGCTCAGGGAGGCTTAGATTGTTGTCATGGCAAACCCCTGCTCAACCGATGTTAGTTTGGCATTTATTAATGGCTTTAACAAATCTCTTCAGATCACAACATCATGACATGCAATATTTAAAGAAAACTATATTTAAATGTTTTTGGAGAGAAGTGTCTGTCTGAACTGTGTTTTATTACATTATTTATATCAAAGAAAAACTCGTAACTTGGTCTTATTTCTAGCACTTTCAGCAAACCTGGATGCTGCACTGTGGAAAAACATTCTTCAAATGCTGTTTTTACAAGTCATTGTAGAGATGTTCTTTTGAAGAAATCTGTGGGTCAAGGTGAGTTGACTGATGAGAAACAGCTTGGGAGGTTTTGCTCTTCGAATGATTTATTTAAAACGAATGCAAACATTTTTTCCAAATATTTATCTGAAATTAAAATGCAGAAAGCAATCTTTTTTAGAGTTGCTATTTGCTATTTTTGGTCCTGATCCAGATAAACAACCTTTGCAATCTTGTATCCATTCAAACAAACCAATGACCGCTGCCTTCTAAAAACTAATAGAATCTGTTCTGAAGCTGTGCTCATTGGATTGTGTTTGGACTCACTTTATAGGGCAGCTGTGTTTTAAGGACGGAGTAATTAACAATAAAAACAGCAAAACATTTTGTTAATAAGGTGCATTTCAAAAAGATCATTCTGTTTTAACTTCTCAAGGACAAACCTAAATTAATTTTATTCTAATTATATTTGAGACAAACAGGTGCACAACTACGAAAAAAAAAAAAAAACAGTACATGATTTTTACAATATTTTACAAATTTGAAAAAAAAAAGTGTAGACTGCATTTCTATTTAGCCTTCCTGGGTCATGACTTTTCTGAACCAGGTTTCGTTTAGTTCCAACCCTTTTGGGATACAACAACCGTCGGAAAACCAGACACATAGATGTTTTCTAATGTCTGTTAAATAGTTCAATCCCAGTCAAATCTTATAGCAAACATCTGTGCACATTATTTTTTCCCCAAGTCTTTTCATGGAATATTAATTATAAGTTAAGTTGACTGTGACTGGGCCATTATTTAAGGACTACATAGCAAACAGTTTGTTAGTTTGAGTTCAGTAATAAAGGAATCATTGAAGCAAGCAGTGGCGGATGAATAAAACTATAAAGGGCTGCTATCTTACATGTTGAAATTGGTTTTCAGGAAAATAAATTTAATTTCAGTTTAATTTGGGGGGGAAAAAAGTCTGAATTTTGAGAAAAAAATTCAGAATTTTGACTTTAATCTTAGAATTCTGATTTTTTTCTTATAGTATGACTATGGGTGGAACCTTAAATTTTATTTCAGTGTAATATGGGAAAAAAGTCAAAATTCTTAGAAAAAAGTCAGAATTCTGAGATTAAAGTCAGAATTCCTTAGAAAAAAAGTCAGAATTCTGTCTTTTTTCTAAGAATTCTGATTGTAATCTCAGAATTCTGACTTTTTTCCCATATTAAACTGAAATAAAATTTTAAAAATCAGTTACCATGTTTTTCAGTGGCCCTAATCCCCTTCCGTACAATATAGTTATTTTTTTTTTCTTTTTATTAACGGGGTTCAAATTACAGTGACCAGTGAGATTTACTTCTGCTGGAATGCTTATACCAGTTTTCGCCACTAGATGTCAGTACTGATCAGTCAGAATCCAGGACTTTTGTTTATTCATTATTTTAAAGTGGACATATTTTCAGAATAGTGGTTGGATGAACGCATTTTGTAGACACACCTTCAATATGATCGTAAGAATCTTTTAAATAAAAGTAAAAATTACACAACCGGGTCACAAAATTATTAGTCCACGGTTGACAGTCGGGAATGTAGCCGCGCAAGCGCAGCAGGTTCATTTGGAAAGAAGGATGAAATTTTCTATGGGCAGAGCGCGAACACACCGCGGGATGCGTGTGTTTTCTCTGTACCATGCATCATTTAATCCAGAGATAAGGTTTTAAACAGAATATTACCCTCACTTTTTATTTTTATCGGAAGCTCTCGGGGTATATTTCTCCCTCCTGTCTTGAGTCTGCCGCGAAGCTGTTGTCAGACAGGCAGAAGATTGGATTCTGTTGCTGGGAGGAGACCACACAGACTCCCCTCCCTGTTAGCATTATTATTAGCTGGCTACGATGCTTGTCTGCGGCTGCTGTCATTCCCACACAGCAGACCGCTTTATAACGAAGCAGGTCTCTGCTTGATTGGTTGTGCTACCCTGTTGGAAGTAAAGGGTGATTCGGAAATACGCAGCACCTTTCAAGGTAATGTTCTTCCAGCTAACGTCATTCACGGCTCCATTGAAAGCAGCTAGCTAACCGTTAGCAGCCGTAAGTTAGCTGCTATTCATTTACATGCTTAGTCGCTCTGGTAACCCGGTTTAGAGGTTACATTTACGTAAAAAAAGACAACAAATAGCTTTAAATTAAGTCTTTGTAACACGAACACATCATCTTTATATAGAGTTAATGTTACAGTTTCTCTGTTTTAGCCAAACAGCTTTAGGCCGTCAAGTGTTGTATTGTGGTCCCCTAATAACGCTACAGGTTATAGTAGAAATGTAGCTAATACCAGTTTAGGGTGGTGTTATTTTTACTAAAAATAATGAAACATAAACAACCCCAATCATTAACGACGAGGTTCTGTATCTTAATAACACTTTGTTCTAAGTCCTCACCTGTTAATTACTGTTTGCTACATTTTTGGTTAAAGATCTCCTTCCTTTAGATCTTTTTTAAATAGTGAATTCCAAATATATATATATATATATATATATATATATATATATATATTTATATATATATATTTATATATATATATATATATATATATATATATCCATGACTATCTTTGATGCTGTACTTAAGAGGATCAATCACTTGGGATGTTGATTTTCAGGGTGCTGTAGTCAGACATGCTAATGGGAAGTTGAGTGGAAGGAAAATGTAGTAAAAACTAACAAAGTATATAAATATGGGGTAAAGCATTCAAGATTTCTGGTGAAGTCTCGCAAAATGTGGACTGCAGTTTATATTGCTTTAAAAGCTGTCTCCCTGCAAAACATGGCCTACAACTGTAATGCTCCTTGTTTGAAACATAGAGTTGTGATGATGATGCTTACATTTTTAAAACTGATATCCAGAGACATGTTTGATTTTTACTATAAAATGCATAAACAATCTATTAAAAATAAATAAAAAACACCTATTTTAATTTAATCTTTGAAAATTCTATCTAAACAGAATAACAGATGCTAATTGAATAATTGTACTAATGCATGTGATATGAATTACCCATTTTTTTAATGAGCAAAAGATCCCGAAATGTTAAAAGAACAAAAGCAAACATAATTCAGTGGAGTCCGCTTATAGTGATCACGTTGGTCCAGAGCCAATTTGAACACTATAAGAGGTTGATTACTAAAACCGAATGTACCGTTATTTCACTTATTTTTTTATGCAGAATATCATCTACATGCCATTCGTGTGGTTTTTCAATGAGAAAAATGAAATGAAACGGATAGCTTCTGCATTTACAGAATTTTATTACAGTACCATGCAAGTTTATTGTGCTGTAGCTGTAAAGTTTGAAACAAACGGTTATATAGAACAACATAATAGAAGATAACTGCATAGGCTAAAGAAAATTAAAGCTAGCCTACCTCTGTTTTGTGTTGCGGATCTGCTTCGCCGCATTAAGAACTTAACACTTAACATATTTATCCATGGTTCCCTGGATCAGAGTGTTGTCCAACACCGAGTTCACTTCTTTTTCAAAACGATGTAAAAGGTTAAAGTTTTTGAAACCAACATGCAGGAGACCAGTCTTTAAAATGCAAACTGAATTCCTCATCTCAGCTCTGGAAGGGACATCCGTCTCCTCTTCTTCATCCTCCTCGCTGCACGAAGCACTGGTACCCACACCAAAACGCTCTTGTACCTCCGAGACGTACATGTATTTTTAAAATTATTTTTGCACATGTTTACATTCATAAAATGGCCAAAAAGGAACACTATAAGCAGATTTATTGATTACTATAAACAAATTATTTAAACAGCATTTGTAAAGAAATGATTCTGTCCCAAGCCTTTTGATCTATATAAGCGGTTGATTACTATATCCGTGACCACTATAAGCGGATTCCACTGTATCTTTAGTATCAGTACCAAATTAGTATTTTATCAGTACAATGTTTGACTATCAATACTCCTTGGAGTGTTGAAACCCTTGTAAAACCAGACTGGAAACATAGAAGGGGTGGGGAGGACGGGACTGTTGCTCATTTGTCCAAAGTCATCTGTTCAGGCAAAATGAAATGTATCGTTTCATATAAGAATGGACTTCCCATAGTTTCTGCCTTGGTTCAGCTCTAATGTGAAGGTTTTAATGGTAAGTTTCCAATGGATGTGTTCATTCTCAGTCCCCTGGGTCATAGGAACTGCAAAACAGGCTTAAATTGAAATTTTGCCTTAGGTTGACTTAAAACTTTTATAAAGTTTTAAGTCCGCACCGCGCTCTACTAGCATATTTTGGAGCACTTCATGATCCGCTATGCAAAATAATTAATGAAATTATTCGTGCCCTGCACATGCTGCCAAAGGCACTATATCCTAGTTTAATTCCTGCTGTATGACAGCTCTGGATTCTCCAGAAGCCTTGCCCAACCAGACCTAAGAAAGAATCTAAGGATTGGTGCCAAGAGGAAGTCAGCAGAGCCAACAATACAGAAGAGCTGAGGGCCACCATTAAAGTAACCCAAACTTCTTTAGTAGATTCACAGGCTGAACGCCTCCCCTTAACCATGCTTGGATGCAATAATTACTACTTAAAAATAAAATAAAATAAAAATCCAGACCAAATACTGTACAATACATGAAAATACTTTTTAATTGGGTAAATGTTTCCGTTAACTGTTTATTGATTGATTATAACAGTTTATCATACACATTCCTTCCATGGTAATAATGACTTTTTCCTTCAGTTAGAAATGTTTTTAGTACACAGTGGCTTTACGCTGGTTTAATTAGGTAATATTTTGTCCACAGGCTGACTATATTAAATTGTTTGTCATTAGCTTTGGTGTCTGCAATGTTTTGACTTTATATTAAACCCTGTTTCCACTGGTTCTGGTCGGCTTATTCTTACAAAATATTGAAGAGGAAACCAGAATAACTAAGATTCAGTTATACAGATAAAAGAATATTACTATAAATTCTCAGTGGTCAAAACGGACACAGTTCAATTTTGGTACAATATTTATTTTTTTCTCAAGATGGATGTTGACCTGTGCGCCGGCGGGGACGGTACCAGGAAAAAAGCAGAGTTACCTGGAGCCGTGGACGGGACAATGGATGTTGTTCCTTTGGAGATGTACGACTCTGCCAGGGCGAAAATATCTGCTAACCTGCGGTGGCTTTTTGCCAAAGCCTATGGTATTGGTAAGTTCATTTCAAGGATCCTACACAACTCAAAACGTTTTTATTTTTTTAATTAAAGATTGACCTGCAGCCAGGTTGGTAATTTGAGATGATCATTTTAACTGTTACTGACGTGAAAAGGCAGAGAGTTAGAGCTAACTGACCTAAGTCCTTTGTGATACTTGGAACTGAAAACTCCCTGTCTGACTCAGCAGATCCTTGCATTCTTATACGATTAAACCTAAATCTGACTGAGGGACAGTCACTTCTGCTTCTGGTTTGTGAGCATGATCGGTGGATGAAAAATCCTCATCTGCACATCCTGTCACTCACACTCCCTGTTAGGATTACATTATCATCACTAAGTGGACCTTTGTGTTAGATGTTATGATTGTTCAACCCTATCCACTGGACATTTTCTTTATTAGAAACATGTTTTGCTGCCGAATTATAAATAAAACAAGTACTGTTTTAAAGGGAAAAGGCATTTGGAAGCTAAGGGGAAATAATTCATAGAGCCTGCTTGTGCACGAGGCTCAACAGACAGCATGGTTCTGTTCCATTGTTTTGCTCATCATCTGAGGAGTGGCGGCCTAGAGTTTAGGGGTTAGAGCTTGTAATCCTGAGGTTCTGAGTTCGAGCCCCACTCCCACAGTCTGCCTTTAACCCCTGATTGCTCCCCGGGTGCCCCACGATGGCAGCCCACTGCTCCTCAAGGGGATGGGTCAAATGCAGAGGTAAATTTCCCCAATGTGTGATCAATAAAGTTCAATTATTTTAATTATTACTATTATTTTTATCGCTGCTGCCAAGTTTCTTTAAATTGTAGAAGCATTTTTGTTGTTCAAACGGGACTTTTCTCAGGCGGCTTTCTCTTCCTTTTTAGTCTGCAAACCCTCCAGCAAAATATCTGCTCCAGAATGTGAATGAGGAGCAATGAGAAGCAAAATAATTATCCGCTTGTATTTCTGAGGGTTTCAGACCTGCTTTAGTTTTAAATGCATGTTGGTCTATCTGCATTAGCTTTTTTATCGATTCCTTTGAAAGGGCAGATTCTACTTCTGCAACCGCACACATCAAATGTCGCTTGGGTCTGGCCGCGAACCAGTTTTGCTGGTATGCTTCTGCACCTTCCCTCTGGAATTTTTAGGGACGGACTGCAGTTTCCCGCCAAAGAGCAAAGGGGAGCCTATTCGAGAACCAGCACCAGTGTTTATCTTCAGAAACAACAATGGCGCTTCTGCAAGATGTCACGGAGATGGATCTAGAGTTTTTTTAAAAATGGCGTGCCCCGGCACCGAATCGAGAAGGACGACCACACAGACAGCTGGAAAGGCATACCAAGGACCAATCACAGCTGCTTTTTGTCATCGCACTTCTGCTTGACGTCTGCGCGGGTTTGCGACTGTCCGAGGCGTAGTAAGGATTTTTTTGAGGTGAGCGACGACGGTTGCAGACAGATTTGATGCTTGCTCAGACTATGCGTCAGAAGCATAAATTGACCTTAATTGGTCATTGTTAGACCTTGGCTCTCACTGCTTCCCTCTGCTTTTTCAATAGATTTGGATTTTATAACTTGTAAAAGTTCTGTGAGTAAAGGCTGTTTTGTGTCTTTGTTTGATTGAAAGGTAATTGGATAGAATGAACAGCTGAACGTGAAGGAAACTGTTGCAACATCACGTTGGACTTATAGCAAACAGCAGTTATTCTACCAACCACCAGGTGAAGATGCTAAGCAAACATTATGTTGCTACGAAATTAGCTTAGCAGCAGAAAAGACTGAACAGGAGTTACACTTCTAAGATGAAAAAAGATCATATATCTTTGCATTCTTTTGAATGAGGGTGTTCAAACAATAAGTTACTTAATTAAATTTAAGTAACTTTTCATAAGCTACACAACTGTAATGCAGTTTTACCTTCATTGGCAACAAGCATACTTAATAGCTGCAGAAAAGTGAGCCTGAAACTGATAACAATTATTTTGGACCATTCTGGTGACACGGTTGCAAAGAGAAATGGGAGCACTGAGAGCCGATAGGAGTTAGAGTAAAAATGCTAGTCATCAGTAGAGCAGAGCTGAATCATGGCAACATTTGACAGCGGCTGAAACAAACAGTCATTAAGTGCTTTACAAGAGACCAGGCTCAACATTGAGTGTTTTTAAGTCTCTCAATAGACTGCCAACTGGCGAGGACCTCAAGCTTTTGCTCTTAGAAACTCCTCTCCAGACTTCCCCTCTTCTGAACTCTAGTAAACCTTCACTAGAGACGGACTTGTTCAGGTTTTTAAGGATGAGGCCGATACCAGTTATTTTAACAGTAGTCTAAAGCCTCTTTTCCGCTGATATTAGTGGATTAATGCGGGTATTTCAAACACGGGTCAACCCGCCAACTATCAGGATTTGGCTCCCTTCTTATTGGCAAAAAAAAAAAGCTGGGTCTGACCCCCCCTGCTGCTAAGCTGAGTGACCTCTTTCCCCCCACTCCTGCATGTCTGGTGACAGCATCACGTTGGGTTAGAGTTGATGATGTCACCAGTGCAACAGAACTCAGGAAAGTAAACAACGGAGAGCAACATGTAAGGGTGCTTTATTGTTGGCTCTGTTTGATTGAATGTAAACAAAGTTGTTTCAACTTGTTAGATCAGACTCGACTTGCGCAGTGTGTTGACAATTGTTACATTACGCTCAATAGTATCACTTAAATTAGCAGGTCGACCCAGGACTGATGTCCCCACACCATGCAGAACCGGAGCCGAGCCATTTTAATGTGATTTTAGCCTGAGTTGCTTTCAGAGTTGTTTGACCCGGGTCGGTGAGCAGCTTCCACTGCCACTAAATCGTTCCTAAATTTGTTCCCGGTTGAAAAGTTTTTTTGGCCCGTTTTGACTCGTGGGAAAGAGATACATATATTTGATCCCTAATTTGTTCTGCTGAGATATTTTTCTGTCCCTATAATTTTTTTGGGTCTTGCTTTCTCTTCCTCCATTACGTGAATCTTTATTACAAAACACAATAAACATTTATCACTAAATCAAAGAAAACATTAACAATGGATAGCGAATGGCCGAAGCAGTCCATGCCTCTAACATGATCTAAAGACATGGCGGCTGTGTAATGCGTTAAATAATTTACCAATGCATGCACCTGTCTGCAAAAACACAAATATCTGCAGAATATACTTTAACGGGTTGATGCATCAGTCTGTCTGACCTTTACACACAGGATTTCTTCATTTCGGTGATTAAATAAAGGGCTAAATGAGCTACCAGCATGAATGCAGCTATATTAATTAGTTTCTGGCTCTCTGTCTTTGATCAAGTAGATTTTTAAATATTTTTGATTAATGAGATGTGATTATATTGTATAGAGAACAGATTTATAAAAACCTATGATGGTAGCTATCCCTCGTTTGTCGTATATATTTTTATATCTCCCTTTTTGTAGACTTGTTTACAGGTTGGTGATTGTAAAATTTCTCCTGCTCTGCTAACTAGTAACATGTAGTGTTGTAGACTCCTTGTATTTGGAGCATGTGAAGTAAATATGGAGCTTTCAGTACATTTTAAAGCTGTCACCATGTCTGGTATCCAACCTGAAAATTCAGGAGGCGTTGATGTTTTTACTAAATAACTACATGCAAACTTGTAATCCCACTTCATAGTAGTGGAGCTTTGTTTGATATCTGATGAATAAGTTCCTGATTTCTGGCTTTGCATGTCTGGCCAAGTCATAACTCATCATTACAGCCTTCCTTTGTACTCTGTGGTCTGTTATGATCATTACACAGATTTCCTAATGTCACTGAAGCATGCACTTAAAAATGGCCGTAGTCTGGGGGTTTTAAGGTAAGCAGGGTTTGAGTAAAAAGCTGTCGTCTGCTTTGCTTTTATTTCAGCCAAGAATTTTGTTATTCTCTGCCCGTTTTTGATCATTAGGGCTCATCCTGCATTAGCTTGGTCATGCTGTTGTTTGCCATCATGGGCTTTTGGTAATGATACCGATGGAGCACTGGATAATTGTAGCATCCTCCTACAGACAAAAATAATACAGTTCATCATAGTCTGACTGTAGAGGCCCCAGAGGGAGACGACTCAGTGTATCTTCCTCCACTGGAGACGTAATAAATTAGTCGTGTTTTCTTGTCATCCCACGGTGCCTGTGGTGTCTGCTACAATGCAAACGCTGCGCAGTCGGCGCGCTGTTCCCGGCTGATGTGAATCCTCTGCACGGGCCACAGCTGATCCCAGCCGGCCAGATGCTAACACTGTCTGGCATTGAGTACCAGTCACATATTTCCAGCCAGTCCTACATCCTCCACTCTGCTGGTGCAGATGGTGTGGCGCTGGTCCTGCTTGGCTTATTGTGACGTACAAAGTCCTGACTGCTGTTGTCAGGCTCTACCATCATGCTCCACCCCAGATAGGACAGTTATTTGGCCTGCTGTGGTTTGCAGGAAGGGGGGGTCAACTGCTACATTACATCAATGTCTAGAGAATGAACTCAGACAGGAAGATGTACCTTGCCAAGACCCTTTCATTTTCTGCCACTAACTCCTTCTGTCATCATGTGTTGATTCACTCCAGGAATGACACAGACTATTGGCTTAACAGATTAATCATGTAGCTCAACACCACTGCTAAGGCCCATGTTAACAGGTGTTGCAATAATGGCTGCCGGATTAATTATAGCAGACTTTTCCCTTTAAGTTCATATCTATATATCTATATTTGTTCTCACCAGGAGTCTTCTGTGCATTAGAGCTGATTTATTACACTAAAAGTTAAGTGCTATTTAAGTTGCATCTTGAACAATACAGGGAGAAGCTGTTTGAAGTGAGGACTGAAGAAAGGAAACAAATCAGCCTTCCTTAAAAGCTTTGGAAATAAAAGGAAACTTAGCTGTGAACCAGGAAACCCCGTCTGACGTCATTTTGCCTTTTTCCCTGTTTGGTATTATTTTAGCTGTGATGTTGTTGCTGGCTGAGATCTTTATTAGGGTTTGAATTTTCTCTGATAGGGTTTGAGCAAAGAAAGAAAGATTGATTAATTAAGCTAATTCCTCTATTTTCATATGCATTATTGATTATTGTAGCATTTTAAATTTTTTAATCATATTTGGACAAAATTTACTGAAAGGTATTTTTGCTTTTACTTATAAAGCGAGTTGCTTGGAGCCTGGTAATGTTTGATGGCTCTGTTGGTGTTTCAGTCATCCCAGCACAGATCAGTACAGTACTTTGTTCTCCTGTTCTGTCAGAGATGCAGGGGATCAGAAATAGTTAATTCCGTCTTGATTCTTAAGACCAAAAGGCAGAACACTAAAGAATATTTTGAAACGTTTTTTCTTAGTTCTTAGATTAATGGAAAAACTTATAAATCTCCAATTTATTTGGTCTAGAACATACATTCCGACAGCAGGCATAACTGCTAATAACCTCCTGGATCCTTCATTTTTTTGTTGTAGTAAAAGCTGCTAAATGTGTGAGGGAACCTGTGATGTGTTTTGTTGATCAAAATGGAAATGATGGGTCTGACGGGCACAGAAGAACAGACTTTGGTTTGGTCCAGGAAAAGCCTGATTAGTGCTGCTCTAATCGTTTTATGAAAAACCCAAACTCTATAGATCACATCAATGAACACCAAAGCTGTATCAATAGGAGGAGTTTAGCACTTTATGTACATTGATTTTTTTTAATGTGTTTTATTCTGTGATCTTGTCCAGATATTCTTTGACTAAAGAGCTCTTCTTGTCGCCAACGTCAAAATTTTGATGATTTGTGGTTGGAGAAGAGGGCATAACGTCTCAGACAGGGAGGAGTCGAAACCTCAGGCTGTCAGTCTGGGTCCCTGAGCAAGTCCCCTCATAGCTGCTCCCTAACAGACCAGCTCAATGCTGAGGACAAGTTTCTGTTGTATTGTACGACTATAGAAAGGTTTTTATCTCCAGTCCTTCCCAATCTTATATAATCATATCAATTAATTACAGATACAGTGAATGTAATGGTTGTTGGGGTTTAATGATAAACTTTATTCTTTTTATTTATACAACATTTTTTTTAACCTGCCTACTTGCTCACCTGTATTTGAGGAGCAGATTTCTGCTGATAAGGTTTGTTTCCCTGCCTTCCCACAGGGTGGATACTAGGAACACGTCATTGGCACGCATGCAGCTTTTGCTGTGTTAACAGATCCGTGACAGAATCCTAAACAGATTCAGCAGAAACGGGGTTATGTTTTCTATTACGCCGCTTTCCTCGGTGCCTGCTGTTGGAAGGATTTTGTCCATGATTGTAGATCTTTTAAACATGCAGTTTACCTTCCAGGATAAATCTGGTTTGCGCTGCTGCTTTGCTCTATGTCCTTTTAAGGACACGGCATCTGCTTTTAGAATGACTTCACATACTCTGTAACAGATCTACCTCGACATGTTACCGTTTTCCTCCTTTTTGGCTCCAACTTTTAAGTAAGCATCTGTAACATCTGCACCATCCCCTGAGAATCCTTGGACCAGAGGATCTGCTGCCCGGTCTGCTCTTAAAGCAACACGCTGACTTATAATTACAAAGATCAATGTTTGCTCACAGTAAACTGAAGCCAACATAAAACAAATTTGACCTAATCTTATGACTCGCTGCCTTCCACTTGGTGATGGAAGTGCTGTTGTCCAGCGTGGGTGCTAGGCAACGCATTTTCCTGTTTATAAACACTGTTGTCTTAAATCAAGCTAAACTATGTATATAATATGATTTTCAGCATAGAGCATTACACAGCCCACTATTAAAGCATGCTTCAGTGCAACATGCGCCACCTAACCTCTAATTCTTTCCATTGCAGACCATATTCCAGAGGATCTGAGGGACCCGTTCTATACAGACCAGTATGACCAGGAGCACATCAAGCCACCAGTCATTCATCTGCTTCTTTCCTGTGAGCTTTACTGCCGTGTGTGCGCCCTCATCCTCAAGACTGAGCAGGCCGCATCTCTTCAGTCTCACCTGTCAGTCATCCAAGCTCTGTCCAGAAAGGGTATTTATGTCATAGAGAGTGATGACGCGCCTGTCACAGACGAGGACCTGGCCTGTATTCCTATAAAAATGGTAAGAAAGTGTTTGAAAAGCTGGGATTCACATTCGGTGTGTGGGGAAAGCACTGATCTGTTCTTATCTTTATGTAGTGTTAAAATATGTTGATGATTCAGCAAGAAGAAAGTTAAACTGGAACCTTTCTAAAAAGTATTTGTAAGACAGGCAACGCTAGCATGCATCCAGGTCCTTAAGAGCATGGTGGTGGTAGTATGATGGTCTGGGTCTGCTGTTTTATCTTATGCTCTTTTTTTTTTGTTATGCTTTGTTTCATGAGATGTACACCTTCTGAAAAGCTCCGCTTCAGTCCTGTCTGTCCAGTTTACCTTAAAACGCAGCGCGTCGGGAGCGTTTAAGCATCTGACGCGCGCAAACGCGCTGCTGCTCGAGATGGAAAAATTAAATTTTTGCTGCTCGACGCGCCGCGTCATCCAATCAGAGATGCTGATCTGGGAGCTGGCTGGGAGAGAGACACAGCGTTGATGACACAGACCGCTCTGATCACTCCTCTGAAACAGTTTATTGACGCCTAAATTAACTTAAAATGCAGAAATCTGTCAGCAGAATATGTTCGCTTTTATTATCCTGCTGCCTGCAGATCGGATTATTTAGATGAAAAACACCTACCAGCTGCCGCGGTGAACCGCGAGGAGGCGACCCAGCCAGAGGCTGCTGATGAAGGGATTCCTACTGTCAGCGCACCGCTGGTATGTCGGGGGTCTGAGCGGCTCCGACAGAAATAACATTGGAAGGCAGGATGATAATCTGGATGAACTGACTGCACTGATGAAGCTTTCAGGTGAAGAGCATGTAAAAACATATTAAAACTAATTTATTCCCACTGATCACAGCAAATATAGCTGCAAGGCAGAGAAAGGATAGTGAAGCTCTGCCCAACGCTCGTCAGACCCACTTTTGCACCACGCAGCCAGAGCAGCAAAGCTGCTTCAGCCGCGCGTCAGAACTAACTTGTACAATCAGCAAAAAGGAAGCAGCAGACGCGATTATGCTGCTTTTGCTGCGTCCGGTGTGAACGTAGCATAAGGTGTGTTCAGATGTGTCTGATGCTTCTGCCGCTCCTGTCTTCAATGGTAGAGAGCGGCTTGGGTATATTTGCTGTCATCAGTGGGTAAAAAGTAGTTTTAATATATTTTTATGCAAGAAGTCCAACTCAAAACATCGTCTGTACACTTAATCAAGATTACTATCATGCCCTAAAATATTATTTTGCTGTCAGAGCTGCGCAGACCTCCACATACTAGCTGCGCTCTGTCACTGGGAATCTCCTGCAGCACCCACATGCCAGGTCACCTCTTGGGGGTTTTCCCTTTCTGTTCGTAGTGGCTGGAAGTAGATATTAGTGATTTTCAGGTATGTGGTACAAACTGCAGGCAGCAGAAAAAAAAAGCGAACATATTTTACTGGCAGGTTTGTACATTTTAAGTTAATTTAGGCGGTAATAAACTGTTTCAGAGGAGTGATCATAGTTCTCTGCATCAGCAGCACTGTGTCTGTCTCACTGTCAGCTCCCAGATCAGCTTCTCTGATTGGCTGATTTGGCAGAACGAGCAGCAAAGATTCTATTTTTCCAATTACAGTATCTACAGCTTGTGAAATTTTGAACATTTGGGACATTTTGAACATTAGAGCGACGTTTCCAGGGTGAAAAACTGGGCGTACAATTTGTAATTTTCTTTCAGTAAAGATCTTACAATGTACGCCCGTACGCATTGCTAGCTAAAAGCCTGGATGAAAATCCTTTAAGACATTTTGTGTTTGAAAGAATAATCAATCTGTAGCATTTTGAGAATTTCACTTCTGGTACAGGTTGTATGTCGCCAGAATAAATGATTTTGGGGGGGACCTTTAGCAGCCGAACAGTTGAAGGAATTTTCCTTTTATCCTTACCCTGGTGTTTATTCAGTCTCAGCCAGGCTTTTAGAAGTAATGAGAAATTTAAAATCCATGTCAAATTTAAAAAGGACTTTGTACGGGCATGAAATCTCTTGGTCATGATTACTCATAAAATCAACATAAAGCGCTTTGCATAAAGGAGTTGTGCACACAGTTCTCTGCTCGACTTGTTGGAACAGCCTCTAAATGATTCTGCTCTATGCTTATCTTTTCTATTCAAATAAGGAGCTGGGGATTTGACTGCTATACCAGACCTGTAAGGACCTTTATTCAAACTTGAGGCTGTGATTAAGATTTAACTTTGCCTGTATTGTAACTCAACAGTCTGTGGTTTCAACGGAGTGTCCAGTGAACAAAGCCATGCTCTGCATACAGAAGAAACAAATCAGGATTTACCAATAACTTTCTCCCTTTAGCTGGATCTTTCTTTAGCCGTACAGCTGGGGTTTTATTATGCATAAAGAGTTTTTATGGGGAGCCTTATCTTTTTATGTTTCTTTTTAAGAGGGAATTTGTTAAGACAATAATTGGCTCAGAATGTTCAGATAAGTTTAGGATGCTGTCCATCCCGTCCTGGAGTCCTGCGAAAACTGGCCTAGGGTCAGTGTGATGTAACAGGTGACTGGTTGGTTCACTGTTAGGTCTGATTAGGACTTAGATATAATTTAGGATTATATCTAGATTTTGAAATCATGATTTTTACTTATTTTTTTGGAAACTGATATGAGAGAGACAATATGGTTTAAATCTAGATGGCTTATCTGTTGTTAAAAAATGATTATGTATTTCGAAAGGCTTTTTTCTTTTTCGCCCTTAAGAAAACCCGTTGAGATAAATTATAAGTATTCATTTAACTTAATTATACCGAGATATCATTATTATTATTAGCATGGAGCAGCATTTTTTTTTTCTATTTGTCTGTTCGCAACAAAAATATAATTTTTTTATATCTGCGCAAATTTTGGCCAATGTCGCTTAATGGGCCAGACACCACAATCCTCCAAATATACTGGCTCTAATGGATTCACTGAAGAGAGAGCTTTATTCATCCAAAGATTATCAAGCTTATTTAAATTGATCTTGATTGATGATGGATTGATTGATTGACTTTATTGATCTCACAATGGAGAAATTTACTCTTTATCTTGCGAATTATCATAGAAAATGAAATGATTTGCAGGATCACAATAATTTCGATCTTGCAAATAATTTAATTATCTATGTTAACAGGTCAAGCTTAAATTATCAATTTTATTTTCAGTATAATCACAATTAAAAAAACAGCCGAGGCACAAAATTTTTAGTCGCATGATATTCATCAGGAGTAAGACTCCGACTTTCTCACTCCAGCCCTTTAGGTGGCGGTAGTGCGCTTAGATTGGTTTACAGCTAACTGCAACCAGTGTCCATTCATGCTATTAGAAGTTAGGGTAAAATCCTCAGACAGTGGACTCTGGACCAGAGAACATTCAAGCTCATGGAAATACCAAAACATTTCAGCCAAACATGCCGTTAAAGAATTTTTTTATTATCATATTTGGCAGAATTGAACAGCTCTACTTAAATGTAGCTTTTAATTATTGTTGATCTCGGGGAAAAAAACGGAAGAAAAAGCATTAAAACTGTGAAAGTTGTATTCCCAGCTATACTATCAGAGTTTGAGGTTTGCATTTGTCGACACCTTTTGGTTACAACCTACAACCAGGGGCCCTTTCTCTGTATTTCCCTAATATTTGTATCAACATTCTCTTCTAATCACATTTAAATGGGTTTTCCAATCATCTTTAAAAGGTTGTTTGTTCTTTTTTTTCCCTCCCCAACTGTAAACGGTTCTCCCTGAGACTGTGTCGACCATCCTAAGTTGATGTTTGGGTCGTGTTTCTGTAAACCACATCCCACCGAGTGATGTTTAGATCCTGATCATGAGATCCTGCCCTTCAAACTCTTTGAAAGAGCATCTCGCACAGGACAGGATGAACAGAAAGCAGCGTGCCTGGCCTCCCCCACTCCTCCTTTTGCTTTGGTAACAATAGGCTGGGAGCGGGCCTCGCCCGTGCCTGCAGCTCAGGAGATGATGTGCGTCTGCTTTTCCTGCTGCTGGTCTGACAAAATAATCTGCACAGGCCTGTGTGTAAGCAGCCAGACACAAAGCCTAGATAGGAGAGGGAAAATTATGAGATTATCTCTGATAGACCACTGCAACTCTCCTCTATGTTTGCTGACTTGACATGATGTTTCCATAGTAACCGGTTTTCCTGCTATTTCAAAGCCTCTGTGTGAATGAAGGCCCTGCTGTATATCCAGACGGTCCCTCTGCACCTTGTCGAGAGAGTTTGGGGGCAACGCTTGAAAGGAGCAGATCTCTTTGGGTCAACTTGTTTTGTGTTAACATGAAGTCTGCCAGGATATGGATGGATGGCAACATGTTGGGGAAACAAAAGATCTGGATTCACAAAGCTTCTACTACCTTTTTTCTTGTTAGTTTTGGATTTTTTTTTTCATTGCAACCTTCATTTAACTCTGCACAGCATGTCCATATTAGCTTGAAATATGCAGTTCAAGAATCTGTTTTTGACTTCCTAGTTCAAGCCTTGTTTTCAAAGCCAAAACAAGACTTTGTTGCGCTACTCTATACAGCCACGAACTCAACGCTATATCTGACATTTTGAATTGAAAAAGCTTCCTGGATTGGAAGCAAAATGTTTTCAAAATTGGAAACAAAATCCAGTGGATTGTTTCTTTACTTTTTTGGAAGAACAAGTTCTAAGACAATCCAGACTAATAACAGCATCTTTTTTAGTATAAAAGAGGCTCTTTATCTGCTTTATAGGTTTTTGTTACATATTAAATATAAATTTTTTTTTCTCATTTCTAAAATTTCAAACGTTCATATAAACATAATTGCAATAAAATGGTTGTTATTGTTTTATATTTTCTTTAAGTCCTTTAACTGGTATTTGCATATTGTTTGACAATATAACATCTCCAACAGGTATTAAGAATTTTTCATACACAAACTAAAAGATATGTGCAGTACAGTTTATGCTCTTCTAACTTGCTTAGGGCTCTTTGGGTTTGAATTACTGAATTCATATGAATCGTAGAGGTTATCAGCCGGCAGCTCTGCTGAGGTCGTTGGGAACGTGCTCTTAGCTCATCTGAGTTGTTTGATCTGCGGTTTCTCTAAACAATATTTACTATGATTAAGGTTCAGGCAAGTTCTCTGGTTAATCAAGGACAGTGATGCAGTGGTCATTAAAGTGGGCTCCTTTGGCAGTGAGTCAGGTACCAAGTCCTGCTGGAAAGCAAAATCAACATCATCATAAAAGCTTGTAAAAAAGGGAAACAATCTGTTCTTTAATATTTCCTGTTGGACGGCTGTGCCCATTTTCTTTTTCAAAGAAAACTGTAAAAAGAAACTATAAAATGTCAGTTTAAAGTGTACTTAGAAATATTTTGTTGGAAAATCATAGAGTTTTGCATAACATAAGCCCTTGTTTAAGCAATCAGTCAATCAATTTTATATATATATATATATATATATATAAATATAATATGACTCTAAGATTATTGTTTTCCAAGTTGTGGCTGTTGTTAGTCTCCATGTAGGTTGTGCTTTAGAGAAAGCTCCTAATAACGCTCATTTGCTGCTAACCAGCTTAATCTCTGAGCACTTCCATCAGCAATTGGATTAAACCAGGAGTATGTTTCATTAAGCACTGACAGGAACAACCGTGCATGTTTATAGATTAGTTTTGAGTGACGTGGCTTTCTGCATGGCTGCACAATGGTTAATCAGGAATTGATAGTCAGAATCTAAATGTTATGTTTTCCTGTTTGGTTTAAGAACTGATCCCATTTATTCTGCTTTGAAATCCCACTCTGGGCTGTGAAGGAGGTGTTTCAACAGATGCGCCACCCTTTTGCTGGGCTTTGTCATTTTATCAGAATGTAAAGAGCTGTTTTATCAGCAGTTTAAGAACTGAATCCGCTTTCAGCTCTTGTCAAATGTTGTGCTGTGTCACATTCAAAAGATTAACCTCATTCTATTATTCTCTGGTGTAAATCCATTTATTTATTGGCTGTTTGGTACCATAACCACCCTCCACCACCAGTCACCAACCAGAACATTACACTGAGCAGAACTTCCCTCAAGTCTAATTTCTTTTAGAATGAATGGTAGATTTAATACAACATGACTTTTTTGGGTATTTACCTATCCAAATTAGGAGAAATATTTTATTTTATATTTTATAGTGTTCACCACTAATATGTTTGTGTAATTGGTAGCCTCACTCCTGTGATGCCCACATCATATTTCTAACAGCCAGGATGCTAAATCTCAGAGTGGTAGCGACTTTATGAGAACTGAAAAGGGAGTCTGATTCAGTGGTTTATTCTGCAATCTATCCCCATGGTTTGAACCTCTAACCAAAACCCTCTGGAGATGGTAGTGAGATATAACCTCCCAAGTCATGTGTCCTTTTCGGCTAATCTCTGTTTGCTCTTTTTTGTTACATCCCCGTCTTTAGAGATCAGGAAATAAAATCTGATCATAATGGAATGACCCTATTTCTCTTTCTCACAGAGTGCTCACATTTCAATGATCGATGCTCTCATGATGGCGTACACCGTGGAGATGATCAGCATCGAGAAAGTGGTGGCCTCTGTCAAGCGCTTCTCTACCTTCAGTGCCTCTAAGGAGCTGCCCTTTGACCTGGAGGACGCCATGGTCTTCTGGATCAACAAGGTTCTGACGCATTTCAGATGTACTAGAAACCCAGCAGGACTTTGAAATGACTTAACTACCTGTCAGCTCTGTGAAACACGCCTTGTCGGCAGATGCACTGCACATGTGGCTCATTAAAGATGATGCAAGTGTTATAGGATGCATTTAATGGTATTGGACATTTTTGAATCATATCTTCCATTTACTTCAAAATGATTCAGTGTGCATTTATTCTGATCTTAGTTGCTACAACTTTTTTCATCTTCATGATGATTTCCACATTTTTTCCTTTTTCTGTTGGAGTCGGAACTAGGAATGTAAACAACATATGATAAATTTGCAATTAATGGTTAATAAGGTTGAAATTTGTTCCATCCGATTCATCGATAACATCCGCTTAGAAAGAAATTGTCAGTTTTGTAATATTACCTCCATCCACTGAAGGGCGCCGCTGATTAATGTTAATTACATTCTCACTGGTATTTGCACGATAAGTAATGCAGAGCGAAGGCATGCTGAAGCAGAATTATACATTGATCCAGAGTCTGGGGTTATTTCCACTATTTAATGGTGAGAAGGTTGCAGAATGCTCTAATTGCGGTTCTGTTTGAAAATATAAACACTCTGCAAACTCCTTATATTATCACCTATATAGTGTACATATAGTGTACAAGTAGAATATGCTAAAAGCAGAGCTAAATAATCATAATTACCCTCTACTTCCAGGGTTTCCGCGGGTCGTTAAAAATCATTAAAATTCATTTTTAAATTAAGGCATTAATTGGCATTAAAATTCATTAAATGTGTTTATTGTGGCATTTAAAATGCTTTATTAAAAAAATTTTTATAAAAACAATTTCGTCAGACATATTATATCACGACATATTTGCTTGGAACTGCTTCCGGTTGATCGTAAAGCTGTATGTTCAGAAAAGAAGCTTGAGTCGGAGAAAAAGCTAGAGAATGGGGGGAAAAAAGCAAATTTCAACAAAAGTGGTTGGAAAACGAGGAATTCGGACATGGCTGCAGCCTGTTGATGGGTACAGTTGATGGCATTAAAACTATTTCTAAGAGCATTAAAAAGCATTAAATTTGAGTTATTCATTCCTGTATAAACCCTGACTTCACTGAAACTAAGTGATAATCTGACTGTTATTTATAATTTATCATCTCTGTACATTGCAATTTTAATTTTCACATATTTATTCATCTAGTTTTTTAATGAGTGACCTAATCGGCTCCTGTTTAAAGTTTAAGAATGTGTAAAACTTTTTTAGTGTATATTTATTCAGTATTTAATACAGCTGACACGATAAATTATTACATTGTAAGTATGTAATATTTTTTAAATTCAACATATTGTGAAAACAATATTTAGCCCTTCATGTTATGAAAAAATGCTCTTAATATGAGAAAACTGAGGTTTAGGAAAATGTCTGCTTATGAATTAATTATTAGTCGATCAGTAAGATCAATCAACTTTAGATTCATTCACTGATCTATAAATAGCATCTCTAGTCAGAACTATTGCTTTTACTTTAATCATCTTATGTCAAAATCCAAAAATGGAAAAGCTGCGTTACTGAACCATTAATAACTGGTTGATTGAACTTAATGATGTTTGTTTTAGAGTCCGCTAAGCTCTGTCTCTGACATTAGATTATATCTTGATAACTGGGTAATCTGAGCTTTGTGAGAATGGAAAACACAAAATCTGATTATTCATCACAATCAGTTGTGACTTTCCCAGGAAGACTTCTCTGAGGGAATATGTGGGCTGATGATTTTCCAGCTAGTTTATCCTAGCAAAGCCATAGATAGAGGAAACTTTATAGTGAAGTCTTTTTATATGATGTATTCATCCCATCCTCTTTGATTTTCTAAAAAAAATAAACCAAAAACTTTAAAGCTCTTCAGGTGGCTTGGATGATTTTTGCTGTTAAAGAAAGCTTTTCTTCCCAATAATCGTGTAAAACAAGTTGCTTGTATTTACAGCGAGCGGCGTAACCGTCATGTTTGGGTTAAGGCGTTTAGCAAGCCTATTTAGATCTAAAATCATTGTAGTAAGTTCCAACATTCTGTGATTTCTGCTTCATTATTCTATGTTTGAATAGTAGGTGATGTGATTTCTATTGCAGGTGAATATGAAAATGAGGGAGATGATGGAGAGGGAGCACAAAGTCAAGCCTCACCCCCTGGAGTCCCCCAGCCACCAAAAGGTAAAAACATTTATTGTGATTTCTATACAAAGAGTCAGAGAAAGAGAAAATGAATTGAAATGTTTCTCCTTTCCACATCAAGCTGGGTTAAAATAAAAGCATTGTTTCATTGAAGCAGCAGCTTCCTCTGTTTGCTCTGGGAATGTGTCTTTGTAATGGCCTTCTGCAGATCAGAAACATCATATCCTCTGTTCTTCTTTCTGGACTTGGGAAGCAGATCTGATCCTTTTTGCTTGTAACCTCTGACTTTTTAATCTCTGCTCCTGTTCCTTATCTGTCCCTCCTTTCCCACTTGTCCCTGCAAACTGGATAGTCTCCCTCCAAATGGTATTGGAAGCTAGTCCCTGTAAGTTGGATGCCCCCCTCCCCTCCCCCAGTACAGCCATTCTTACCAGCTGATTCCTCTTTGCACGTATAGTTTTGTGTTGGTGTGCGCACACACTCCACCATCGCTCATTCACGCTCATTCAGTGCTGCTGTTTGTGGCCAGTGTATCACCAATGGGGGAGAAAAAAAAGACAGACTTCTTTTCCATTCTGGCAAATATGTCAAACAGGTGTTTGGTATTCCAGCCTTTTAGAGATATTTCCTTTGCTTCTCATCATTTGCCGCTTAAAGCCTAGCTTCACCAGGCCGTGCCGATGTGTGGTTAGTTGCCTGTTCAGAGGTAGACTACTGAGCTACCCCATTCCCACACCTCTCCTTTGCTTTGCAGACCCATCCTTGGCAGCCTCTCCTCACTGATCTGCTTTTGTCATCTTCCCACCAGTCTCTCTCGCTCTATTCTGCGTTCTCACACTAAATGAACTGTTCCTCTGACAGTGACTCTGCTTTGTGTATGTGTCAGCCTGATGCCGTGACCGAGCTGGCCCACTGCATGCTGGAGCCAGAGGATCTCTATGATGTGGTACAGTGCTCTGGTCTGGTCAGGGGAAGGCTCCCTTACACTGCTGGATAAAGTGTTATCCTGATACTTACTGATTCTCTTTGTTAAACATAAAAAAATATCTGATAATAAACCAGCTTAGAAATGACCTGAGTTAATACAAGATGCCTTTTTTTAATGATGATTTAATGTTTAAAGAGAATAATTTGGCCAAAGCAACCTGGTCCTTTGTGGAATAATAATGGCCACCTAAACCCAGTGATGACTGAAGTCATATGTTAGTTGACTTTATTAAAACCCCCTATATCCCTATACAGGAGTATTGGTCCCCCCTTTTTTTTGCTGTGGTATTTTATAATGTAATGGAAGTTTTGTTTTGACCTGGAGAAGTTGATTATGTTCCTTTGATTAATGAAAGGTTTCCCCAACGTCCCAAGTTTTCTCCTTGGGTAGCTTTTGTTTTTGTTTATTTTATACAAACACATATGAGCACAGATTGCTAAACATTTCTTGATACACACAGAATATATTTAAGAGTGCATGGGAAGATAATGGAAATAGTATCCAGAATCCAGGGAGGAGATTGACACAGAATGTGAAATGAAGATGGACAGTTAATATATTATAACCATCTGTGGGAATCACTTCAGTCAGGGATGCATCTCACTATAGTTAGCATCTCCTCACAAAATAATCAGACTTCAATTATATGTGAGCAGTTAGAGCCTCCATACTATACTCCTCCTTCACTTTCTGCTTCCACTGTATAACTGGGTAGCAGTAAATGCATCCATTATATTGTCTCCATTTATCTCCAGTAATCAGTGGTTCATGTATTTTTGATCTCTGGTGTAGCTACACATTTTCAGGATTTTAATAGCAGCCAATCAGTACCTAGAATGTTGTCTATCTCAGTCTTTACCTGCCTCCATTAAAGGAATAGTACACCCAAAACATGATTAGCCTTCATTTTCTACTCACCCCCATGCTGAACAACACTCTGGAGTACTTTTTTGATATCTCAAATGCATCTGGAGATCTGGGAGGCTTCTTGCTGTCTGCTGACATTCAAATAATGGAGGTCCATGGCGCCCGAGACAGAAAGGTCCACAAAAGTCCACAAAAACGTGTCAATATTCCTCCATACTGCTCGTCCAATGTAATCCAAGTGTCCTGAGTGGGTAGCATCCAGAATTTACTCGAAACGAAGTCATTTAGAACGTTTTAGAGCCTAAACAGTAGTGTATAGGATTTCCTAATAGCGCCCCCATGCGCGCTCACGATTCTACGGAAGCCGGCAGACCAAACCGGAAGAAAGTGCGCATTCAGCGTCTGCTCTGCCGATAATGCAAGCGTAGAAGAAGAAATGTGCTGTTTACCTGTGCAAAGAAAGAAACAACGAAAGAAAAATGTCTGAGGACTTCAGTGATGAGGAAGAGCATGAGTTCTTTGCCGAGCTGAATGCGCTGGTTTGGTCTGCCGGCTTCCGTAGAATCGTGAGCGCGCATGGGGGCGCTATTAGGAAATCCTATACACTACTGTTTAGGCTCTAAAACGTTCTAAATGACTTCGTTTCGAGTAAATTCTGGATGCTACCCACTCAGGACACTTGGATTACATTGGACGAGCAGTATGGAGGAATATTGACACGTTTTTGTGGACTTTTATGGACCTTTCTGTCTCGGGCGCCATAGACCTCCATTATTTGAATGTCAGCAGACAGCAAGAAGCCTCCCAGATCTCCAGATGCATTTGAGATATCAAAAAAGTACTCCAGAGTGTTGTTCAGCATGGGGGTGAGTAGAAAATGAAGGCTAATCATGTTTTGGGTGTACTATTCCTTTAAGGAAGTATCATTGTTCAATCTCAGAATATTAGTGTTTGAGAGTCCCTTCATATTTTCTCCAGCAGAGGCTACACCAATAAGGGTTTCTTAGGTTGCTGTATTGAAAGTTTTTTTTTTGTTTTTTTTGTTTCGATTATTTCTTTCCCCTGATAATATAAATCATCATTGGAAAAAAGCATTTGTGTATTTATTAAGTTTATCTTTCTCTGATAGTTAAATCAAGACATTTAGCAAAGCAACAAAGGTAAAAAAAAAAAAGTGCAATCACAGGATTGGTTTTATCACAGCACTGTATGTTGAGCCTTTAATTGGTTGCTAACTGTAGCCGCTGTGACCTGTAGGTTTATAGAATAGCGCAGGTTATAGCTTAAATTGTTTGATTTGTGTTAATTTTAGGTGTAGATGTTTCTAGTTGGTTATGTTGTACTAAATGTGAGATGCTTCTAGAACTGTTCTTTTTTCTGTTCCAAAAGGTTTTTCTTTAAAGCTGTCTATTAGTCTTTTTTTATACAAATTACTCCAAGTCAGAACCTATACCTGCAGTAGAACCCGCCTACACAGATGATGATGATGACTGACATTGCAGTCATAATATTTAGCCAAACTATCCTCTGATATCATACAGCCCTTAAAGTGAACGCTTCACTGTTTGTTCACTATTTCCAAGCAACATCACTAATATTGATCATCTGATTGTGTCAAAAATACCTCTTGGACCTTTTCACTGTTTTACTGTCGCAACCACAAATATCAGGGTATTTTTATTCTTAAATTAAGCTAAGTTTAACATAAAGGAGTGCAAAACACTGGAGTTAAAGATAATGTATGGATTTCAGAACGATTCATCAGTAGGTTACTAAATGTTTATTGTATCTGAGCCAAACCTCCTTTACTACATTTTTATTTTTCTTCAGATTTTTCTAACTGCTTTAAAAAAAAAGCATTTGACTAAAATCCATACTTTGTTTTCATTTCCCAAAGTTATGCACCAAGTGTTGGTTTATCGAATAAAATCAAATGGAAGTTTTTAAAGTTTGTGGTTAAAACTTTACAAACATTGAACCATATGAATGTCTCCAAATAGCAGTGATGTATCTAAGGAGTTTATTTTTATTAAAATCCCACGAATAAAAGGCTAAACAGACCTTTTATCATCAGCTTTTTTTTTTAGTATTTGCAGTAACTGTGACGCTGGACACCCAGTGCTGATTTCCCTCGCTGTCTCTAAGTGGGCCAGTGATTAGTCCAGTTTCCATCCCAGTCAGCTGCTTCGTGCAGCGTAGTTAAACTGGGTTTCCTCTGCAGCGATCTGCTTAACAACCAGAGGCTGACCTTCCTCTCTGATGTACATGCCACAATCTAACACCTTCACCTCCATCTCCCAGCTAACCAGTTCTTCAGGGTTCTCCCTAATCTGGTAGATTATTGTTCAATTTCAAAGAGGTTTCTAAAATGACAACCTTTGTTTTCCTGGGGGAACCCTGACCCACTGCCTTCATCAGTTGCTTTTGAGCTGCTTTGATTGATGCCTTTCAGACTCGGCATTAATTCAAAGCTCTGCCTCTTGTTACTTTAGGGATGATATTTGTTTCTATTTTTTGAAAGCCTGAACATCTCCCCCTGCTGGTTAGGTCCGGTACCGCCGAGAGCATGCGTCCGGTCGCCAGCTGCCCTTCTTCCCCCTGCTGGAGGACCTCATGAGGGACGTTTGTGATGGAGCTGCACTGCTCGCCGTGGTTCATTTCTACTGCCCTGATATCATGAAGCTAGAAGGTAGGAAACACTTGACAGCACCACACTGAATGTAGCATCCATGTGTGATGCTATTTTTATTAGGCGCATATGGCCAAAGGTTCCTCTGTGCCCAGTGTGATGTTTCCAGCCGTGAGGTCATTGAGCTGTATCCTGATCTGACCCGACTCGCTCTCTGCCTCTCTGATCAGATATTTGCCTGAAGGAAGTTCCCTCCATCGCTGATAGTCTGTACAACATCCAGCTGCTGAGAGAGTTTGCCAGCGAATATCTGAATAAAAGCTGCTATCTGACGATGGAGGACATGCTCTATTCACCGCTTGTTCTCAAGGTACCAAACCTGAAGGATTTAGAGTTTCTTTACCAAAACAATCCAGCTGTTTCCCTTCCTTTTGAATGCCAACCCTCCTGTCCATGCTTCTCACTCTCTCTGCAGCACAACGTCATGGTGTTCATCGCTGAACTGTTCTGGTGGTTTGAGACTGTCAAACCAGAGTTTGTTCAACCCAGAGACCTTCAAGAGTTTAAAGATGGTAGGAATCGCATCCAGTCAATCTTACCTCTCAGGAGGAGGGGATTTAATGCAAGGTTTCAGCTCCGCTCAACATGCAGCATTATTTAAAGTTCTAATCATTTACCGTTTTCTGTTTAGCTCGAGCCATAGCTCATCCCAAGAGTGCCCGTCCGTCAGTGCCCATCTCTAACGCCACCAAGCGCAGCTTTCTGACCAGTCCTGGCGTGACAGAGAACCAGAGCAGCCCTGAAGTCTGTAACAGGTACTTCCTGCACCCTGAAGGCTCTGACCCTCTGTAAGTCTTTTCTCATCTTTCTTTACATTCCCCTTATCATCCTTTTTCCAGTTCAGTGTACTTCTGTGTCTAGGGCTGCAACCAATGATTATTTTGCAAATCGATTTATCTGTTCACTATTTTTTCAAATAATCGATTATTAAATGGATAGCCAAAGGTTCCTTAAAGAAGATTTTTTATTTAGGAAATTCAACAAGGGGAAACTAAAACATTTCAACTCGACAAGTTCTGGATAGAACATATTGACAGTTGAAAATGTTTTTTCATCTTAAATGCAAAACATTTACATATATTTTTACAGCTTTGGTATAAGTATTGCTCTAATTTGGTTGCCCTGTCAGTTAAAGGCCTGGTTTAAAGTCTCCATACTCCAGTTAACAATTAATCAATTATTGAATTAGTTGACGATTATTTCAATATATTTTATATTAATATATTATATTAATCAGGATTAATCCAGTTGATTGTTTCAGCCCTATCTGTGTTATTTATTCGATTATCGAAACTCATTCCAGCTGTTAAAATGTTGTCTCTGTTATACCTTGTGAGAAAATTGTTTGTCTTGGTTTTTTTTATTTTTATTTTTTTATTTATTTTTTTGCACTGGAGGTTTTACTGTTTGTGTTTGTTTTGTTTGCTCTCAGTAAAGGGGGTCCCACCTTCAGTCCCTCACACCCACTGCTCCCTCTCAGGCAGAGACAACAGAAGCAGCAAGGTGATGACAGCGGAGGTAAATACAAGACTGTCCTTCCTACACTGTGCAATTTAAAAAAAATAAATCTTATACTATTATTGCATGACAGACTAAATTATGTGCAACTATTCATCTCTGCCTCCACTTCAAATTTGATGCTTGAACCTCGCACTGTCACTGTTACCTACTAAACAATAAGCGACTTTCCAAGCCTGCACCAGATCAGGGTGACATTTATCTGTGCTGCTTGACATCCATACAAATTACAAAGAGGGAAAATGAATCATGTGTCTGGGGAAAAGAGAGCCAGTTGGGATGCTAGTTTACAGAGAGAAGTTAAGACCAGGTATATCTCACCTTTATGGGCAGTATTAGAAAAATAAACATCAGCCTGCTGAATGTTTATTCATTCATTTACTAATACTAAATGAATGAGTTCTGTAGATTGAAAATGTTTGATCAAACATTTATGTCCTTTAATTAATAAATGAGAAAGTTCTGCAAAATGTCCATTATAAAGCGCATCAAAGTCTGGTAAAAGTGCATAAAGAAATAATCCAAGAGAAAGGTTGGGCGGCCGATGATCGCACAGTGCAAATTGGGCATAAGAATGAAGGATCTGGTTCATGTTCTTATTGGACGTTTTTTATTTTTGCTCTAGGTCCAAGAAACCGGTCCAACTCCCTGACACAGATGGACAAACAACAACTCAGAGGATCTGCTGCAACGTGGACCGACAAAAGGCAAAGGTGCTTCACCAAAATACAAGTATTCACAGTACCCTGAAAAAGTATTCACACCCCAAAGAATTTCAATTTTTGCCACATTTTATTGGGTTTTTACATGATTGACCTCCACAAAGAAGCATGCCATTCAGAAATGTAATAACATGCATGCCAATGTGGACATGGAGGCCTCTCCTGGATTATGTGTGAGCTGACATCATCTGGGTACTAATAACTAAAATGTTATAACCTTAGTTTAAGTTAGTGTTTTGTGGCGGCTCTCATGGCATGTTAGCTCTGTATAATGAAAAATCTGAATAAATATAAAGGGAGAAAAAATAGTGGAAGGAAAAATTTTCCACTGTACCCCTACAGGAATCTGTGGCCAGTATTTGTCAGTGGTAATCTAAAAAAAGAGTCCATCTTTTTGTGAATTAAGTCGATGTATTTCTACAGCTGTTCTGCGAAGAACTGGTAAGTTTGTTTTGAAACATTTGCAAAAACAAAACTTGATAGAGATTTAAGATTGCAAACATATGAATGATGAAACCATGGAGATATTTAAAGTAGATTTAGCCGATAACTCCTATAATTCCTCCTATCTGAAGGTAACTGAATGAATGGAATCAAGAACTGGTGGCAAAATTTTAAAATAAAAAATCTTAGGTACAGAACAGTGTTGGCCTAGTGGTTAGAGGAGTGTGCCTGTGCTCTGAGAAGGTTGCAGGTAACCGGTTCGATTCCCCACAGTCTCCACTCTGAGTCTCTGAGCAAAACCCCTGATTGCTCCCCTGCAGCCACTCGATGGCAGCCCACTGCTCCAAAAGGGAGGGTCAAAATGCAGAATTTACACATTGTGGGACAATAACGGGATTTACAAGGTCTGTTTCTTAATGTTTTGGGTTTTTGTAGATAACATAACATTGAACGTTAAGCAGCTTTTTAATGCAGAGTATTTAAAACCCTGCCTGAATACAGAAAGAGTTCTCCTATTCCCATTACTGGGATTAATTGTTTGTTCAACAGGAAAACCTGTTAAGTTTTGTATTAAAAAGTCAAATCAAATAGATGCTGCCTGTGAGTGTGATAAAGGTTTGACACCACCATCTTGGACTGACTGTCTGACCAGGAAAGTCAACGTGGAAATTCACAGTAACATTAGCTGCAGACATTCATAGGTGAGGCTAGAGATGGCTGGTTATGGGGAAGATGTGCAAGAATACAAAATGGTTCAGAAAACACGGAGGTGGCATCATCTTGCTGTGGGAATACTTTTGTTTCCTGTCAGATTTAGAGAAAACAAACTGTTGAGAGGAAATAGTTCAGGCTCCAGTAAAGGTAACCATTGGCCTGTAAAAATAAAGTGAACATAATAAATGTTCTCCTTTTTTTCAGACCCCTGTCTACGCTCAGCCCCTTCATGCTCCACTCAGCCACTGACAGCGACGCAGACGTGGCCTCTGGGGATAGCGTGAGTCTGGCTCGCTCAATTAGTAAGGACAGCCTGGCATCCAACATCACCAACATCACGCCCAAACATCAGGGCGCCGTCCAGCAGTCGTCAATCGCTGCCATGAGAAGAATCAACGGCCACAATCTTCTGAGTAATGTCAACATGGAGGACGGGGAAGAAACTTTAGTTGTTTCCAGGACTGATGCCTCCACTATCCCAAAACGGGTGGATACAGCAGGAGCAGGAGCCAAAGCTGCTTCTGAGGGCTTTTACCTGGAACCACTGATGCCTGCTGTCCTGAAAACAGCTAAGGAGAAGTCTGTCTGCCTGAACAAAGAGGAGGAGAGTGGGGAGGGGGCTCGCTCAGCAGGTAGGGGCTCTTTACGCCGAGGAGATGGACCTTCTGCCGCAGTCCGAAGAAAAGCCCCGTCTGATCTCAGCCAGGTTTCTCCTCCAGGCAAGGAGGACATTCTGCCAGAGGAGCAGCGGCAGTCTGATTTCAGACCAGTCCTCACCAGCAGAGAAACGGCTGAAGGTTTCTACCTCCATTCAGATTCTGAGGAACCAAAGAATATCAATGGCCCAGAGGCTGAGCTAGGAGACCTGGATGAGGAGGAAGAAGATCTGGATGAAGCTCTGACCACTAAACACTCGAACCATCCGAGGAAAGCTTACAGCGACGCTGATGAAGAAGAATCAGCCAAGCTCCAGGAGGACCTGAATGTTAAAGAACATGAAGACAAGGACTTCAATGGAGGCAGTGGACGCTCCAGCCCCTGCCTCAGCACACACTCCCAAGCTAGTAGCATGGCTAGCGGCAGCGTGCGCATGACATCCTTCGCTGAGCGTAAAGCTCAGCAGCAGCGCTTCGGCAGCAATCATGACCTGCGCTCCAGTGCCTCCAGCTCTCAGAGGACCACTCCAGACGGATCAGAGAGCAGCGGGCCCCTGTCCAATTCCTGGAGAATCAAGAGAGATCAGAGCCCGTCGTCTCCCTCAGGGGGATGCTCTCGCCCGGGTGAGGGCGGTACAAATGTGCTGGCCTCTGAAATCGTTCAGCTCCGGATGCAGCTAGAGGAGAAGCGCCGCGCCATCGAGCACCAGAAGAAGAAGATGGAGGTGCTGGCAGCGCGGCAGAGGCAGAAGCTGGGGAAAGCAGCCTTTCTGCACATCGTTAAGAAAGGTGGAGGAAGAAGCGACACGTTACCCAGCTCACTAAAAGCCGACATCTGTAAAGACGAGCTGAATGGGGAGAAAGGACCCTTAAGTAAAGACGATATGTGTGTTGATACCCTGCGGGGGGAGAAGGAGGGAGAGGGGATGGGCCCTCCAGGTGCCTTAGAAGCAGACAAGAAGGGAAACAGTGGAAGCTTTTATCTAGATGAAGAGTTGGACCTGAACGAGTGCAGCCGCTCCATCGAGCTGCTGAACGAGGCCATCGGCAGCATCCAGCAGCAGATGATGCAGCTGTCACTGCAGCAGGAGATGCTGATGAAACAGAATGTACAATCCCCAGCTGGTGCCGCTCCACCTCCTCCTCCTCACACAGGAGATAAGAATGGAGACTCTAAGGCAGGAGGAGGCTTTCACTTTGTGGAGCACCTCTCTGGGACAAGCAGCGCTCCAACCAGGAAACCCCCCAAGCTAAGCTCGGGCCGGAGCTCCAGGTCAAAGCCCTCTGAGTTAAAGTTTGCTAAGGACCAGAGCCGACAGGCCCCCAGGACCCCCACGCCTTCTCAAGGGGGATCCGAGACATTCCCAAACCCACGGCAGTTAGCAGGGGGCAGGTCCCCTAGAGCTGAGCAGCCCGGCAGCCCCAAAAGACCCACACCCGCAGAGATCATGGACAGACCGGGATCCGGGCACATCAGGAGCGCCACCTTTCGCCTTCACGACGAGGCCAACATGCGCCTGCCGACCCGCGTGGACCTGACCTCTCTCTCTGCTCCAGAACTGTTGGACGAGTGCCTGCCTGGTTCGCAGAGAGAGGGAGAGCACAGATCGCAAGGGAAAGAGGGCGTGTCTTCAGAAGAGGCGCAGCGCAGCAAAGCCCACCTCATAGAGGTGGATCTGTCTGAGCTGAAGGCCCCCGAGGAAGAGGAGGCATCTGAGGACAGACAGATGGAGGATGGCGATGGAGAGCAGAAGTCTGTCCTGGGCTTCTTCTTTAAGGTAAAGCGGAAAATCTTTCTTTCTTCATGATGGATCATGAAGCATTTGGAAAACATTTTTAGTTCTGGTCTTAATGCAGTGTTCCTAAACGCTTCAAAAAGTAGGAAATGTTTTATGCTTCCAGGAGGAGCAGGATGGAAAAATACATTCCGTTATTTCATAACTCTTTCCTCTACTACAGTTAAAGGCAGTCAACACTTCAGCAACTACTGAACATCAATGCTGAAGGTTAAATGTGGAAAAAATGCCCAATTTTTAAAGACAAATTGATGAAATGGTGTATATAATTTTCCATGTTCCAGGATGAGCAGAAAGCCGAAGACGAACTTGCTAAGAAGCGGGCGGCATTCCTGCTGAAACAACAGAAGAAAGCTGAAGAGGCTCGCATCCGCAAACAGCAACTAGAGGCAGAGTCCGAACTGAAACGGGACGAAGCCAGGTAGCTCACTTCCTCAGCGACAGCACAGGTGTCGTATCACTCCACAGAGCGCTGAAATGTACGTTTCATTTCGACTAGACGAAAGGCAGAGGAGGAGCGTCTGCGTAAAGAGGAGGAGAAGACGCGAAGGGAGCTAATAAAGCAGGAGTACCTACGGAGGAAGCAGCAGGAGATGTTAGAGGAGCAAGGCCTGGTGAAACCCAAAACACCCAAACCCAAGCAGAAACACAAACACAAGGCGGTCATCAGAGAGGAATCCAGTGATCATTTCTCCAAGTGCTCTTCCACACGTAAGAAACTTCACCTTTTTTCTCTTTAGTCTGCTTCTGATTCACATCTTTTCTGTCTGCTTTGGTAAAAAGCTTAACAAATGGCTGCATAATTAAATCTTGATGCTCTTATTTGTTGCTTGCAGCTGACAACCTGAGCAACGCCCAGTCAGGCTCCAATCTGTCTCTGGCCTCTGCAGCTACAAACGAAGCCGACAGCGTCAACTCCGGAGGAGCCGGCTCTCAGCGGTAAATTACAAACTGATTGCATTTGTATTTGTAAGCTTGTTAATTGTTGATCTGTTGATTAATGAATTATCTTTTCCTTTTTTTTTTCTTTCCATGTCCAGCTGTGACTCAGTGGAGTCGTTTCCAGGCAGTCGTAACAACAGCCGAGCCGCAGAGAGAGACTGGGACAACGGCTCCACTGCATCCTCCATCACCTCCATGGCAGAATACACTGGTGAGAGAGAGACTCAGATCTCCTCTGGCTTTAGTTTGTAGTTTCAACAGCTCTGAATTCGTATTGAAAAATTAGGCCAATCTAATCTTTGTTTGGTTTTATTGTTGTTTTTGGTCATTTTTTTTATCTTCATTTTATTCCGATTTATCAGTCTTGTTTTGCTTCCTTATAATGTTATTCTTTTCTTTTTTTCTTTTTTAGGTCCTAAACTATTCAAGGAGCCGAGTGCAAAGTCAAATAAGCCAATCATACATAATGCAATCTCTCACTGCTGCCTGGCAGGGAAAGTCAATGAGCCCCAGAAGAACCAGATCCTGGAGGTCAGTTCTGCAGCTTAGATTAACTGTCCATACAAATTTTTCTGGTTATTGCTCCCCTTACCTGTCAGTTGAGGTGAGGCATAGTTAAAGTTTGCTGCTGTTTAATAACTAATCCAGGCATTCCTGGATTGTTTTCCAGCCCAACCCAGCTTTAAATATCTTTACACGACCTGATCTAGAACCTTGCTGCTTTGTTCCTGTTTGTCAGATACTGAATGTAACTGTTTGCACTGGGTTTGACTTATTGATCGAGTGAAGAGAGCTAAACACCGATGAACATCACAGTTTTCCATTCATTTGAAAAGAAAGGGAAGCTTAAAAACATTAAGTGTCATTAAGCAGGACAGTTTAAAAACCAACCAGTATGATCTTTTGGTTTTTCTTCCTTCCAATGTTTTGAACCAGGATTGTTGTTTTCATTAGTTTTATTTTGTCTGTGCTCCATTATCAGGAGCTGGAGAAATGCGAATCCAACCACCTGATGATCCTGTTTCGTGACGGCGGCTGCCAGTTCCGGGCGCTCTACTCGTACTTCCCTGACACCGAGGAGATCCATAAGCTGACGGGCACCGGACCCAAGAGCATCAGCAAGAAGATGATCGACAAGCTGTACAAGTACAGCTCAGATCGCAAACAGTTCACCGTCATCCCTGCCAAGACGGTGTCAGTCAGCGTGGACGCCTTGACCATCCACAACCACCTGTGGCAGGCCAAGAGAGGTGCTGTGCCAAAGAAAATGGGGAAATAGACTGGTTTTAGATCCATCATCCCGCCTCCCCGCCCAGCACAGTCTGAATATCTACTGTGATGTCACAGGGATAGCTTCAGGTTGATGTTGGTTGTTATGAAGCAAGCATGTGGGAGAACCTCCATTTTGACATGAAATATTTCTTAGTTCAGCGCCGTCATGGTTGAAACCTAAAACCTAACACCCTTCCTCTTCTGGATAATTCAGGCCTGAAGGTGGAGACATTCGTTTGACCCGTTTAGGGCCGTTTCTGATTCTACAGGAAGCTGCATCGTCAGGCTGACATCAGTGGTTTGCTGCTCAGAACCATCTTCTTTCTGTCTGACGGGGAGGGCGGTTCTAACCGGTTCTCCTTCTAGTCACATCCATTTGCCTTTCTCATACATCATGGTACTATTAGGTGTTTTTATTCCGCTGCTTTTTAACTGATGGTGTAGCAGCGGGTTTGTGTGTCAGAAATAAAAACGGCTCTGATTATTTTAAGGACCCTTTTATTTGTTAAAACATCCCGTTTTCTGTTTTCTGGATGTTTTGAAGAAGGGGGGTTGTTGACAGGGCTTGACAAAAAAATGCTCTTTATTTTGTTTGTTTTCTTTAGCTTTTTAAAATATTTTTGTCATGGAAGAATTGTTCCAGTTTACGAAGGCGTTATGTGTTTTTATCATAACGGGATTTCTCTGATGTTTAGAGCTTTGTTGTTTTATTTTCTCTCCACCGGGCACTCCTGAATCATCCTGTACAAAGGTGCACTCATGAATACTTGTCAACGGCTTCTTTTCATGCAATGTAACTCCTCTGAGTATTCGTGTCCCGTCTTTATTCACACGGGCGGGGAGGACCCCCTCCTCGTTTCGAAGGGTGCTTCCTGCTCAGCTCCAGTGACAGTATTTGATATCCTCTCGCAAAGGGTTTGTGGTTCAGTTGTGTTCCAACATTAAAGAGCATTCCTCCAAGGTGTTGACAAGCACTGCCACATCGTCTCTTCTTCACTGTCTTGGCGAAACCGTTGAAAATGCTTCTTCTTTTTGTTAAATAAACCATTCGTTGGCCTCGAGAACAACCGGAAGTGTCGCACAAGCACTTTACTATCTGTCGGGTTGCATTAGTTTGTCTTTTAAAAGGGCATTGAAATGACAAACTTGATTGGTAACACTGCTGTTTGGTTAAAAATCCAACACTAAAGATTGAATCCTGATGACTACAAGCTGAAGGGCCTCCACTGACGCGTTACTACTGCTGTCTCTCCAAAAGCCACTCGATACTTGATGAATCGTTTGCTGCATTTTGATGTCTTTTGGGGGGCGGCCGCAAAGTGGTCTTTAAATGTATGAAAGTATATTTTTATGTTATAACTAAAAGATTGTATTGGCATTTGATCACCTTTTTTTTTGTTACACTAGTGTACTTTTCATCCGTGTTTGATTTTTACCTTTGATCCCATGTCATCTATTTATTTTAAAATGGAAGCACTGAATAAATTTCCCAAGTGAATAAAAGTCACTTTTTTCCATTTCTTTCTTGTTTTTGACCATCACTATTAATGTTTTTTTATTTTTTAGTTTTTCTGGCACCACACTAACTTCACTTTTTTGGTTTGGTTCTTCATGCCACTGCATTTTCTTACTGGGATTTTTGTCAGAAAACTGATGCTGCTTGGTTTTCACAGAGCAAACGGGAAAAATTTATCTAGAGGTATGTAAGTAAAGTCATTAAAACACCTTTTGGACCTCCCCATGTTCAAACTGCAGCTCACTCTGCTGCCCAACTGGAACCGCGGCTTTAACGCCAGCTTCATAACCATGGTGAGGCGTGATCCTCCTTGGTAACCAATCCTGGTTGTTCAGGCGATGACATAACTATCAAACTCTAAACTGTCCATCCAGAGTCAAACAAAGATCTGCACTCTGCCAGCTCAGAATGAAGGGTGAGTGATCTAATGCTGCAGCTGATTTTTGATATAAAATGTGATTGATGCTGTATGCTTCCACAGGTGTGGTGGCTCTCGCTCTGTTGCTGGGAAGTGTTCATCTCAGCCACCCCTGTCAAAAGGTGAAAAATGTTTTGGTCTGCTCGGACGCTCTAACAAGTGAGAACTTTTTTAACTTTGAACCAGTCCAAAATTTAGCAAACTGCCTTCAAACCAGATTAAAAAATGCTTTACTTTGAGAAATTCTGGAGGAACTGGAACTCTTTGAAATTGGCCTTACAGTATCTGATTGGTCAGAGAGGTTTCTGCTGTCAGACACTTTTTATTTGGGAAGATTTTAATGCTGAATAAACAGACCATGGGCATCAAAATGATGGAAGTCAAACCCTAATTTGTTTAATGACTAAAACCTAGCATTTCTTCAGTGCACTGAGCTCTGCTGCTCTTTTTTTCCTGTACAGCTCATCCATAGCATTCCCTCCTCAGTTTAAGCTTTTGTGGTTTAGCCATGAATTCACCTTCAGTTATTTTTCTTTTTCAGCCGCAATGTTATACATCTGCTGCTGTTTGGGATCTTTGTCCTGCTAATTGCTTGGTTTAGGCTGAATCCAAGTTGCCCATTTGACTCTAAAGTATTCTGTAATACAATAAAGAAGACTACAAGCTGCCCAGTATAACAAGCCCTAACCATCAACCCTCCACTACCGTGCCTAACAGTTTGCATGCTGTCTGGTTTCTACCAGATATGGAAAAGTTTATTCTGTCTCTACATTGGTCTCTCCTGCCAGTGGATGTTGTTCCAGACATTTACTGTTAATTTAGAAGCACCTTTGATCGTGTTGTTCTTTTTGTAATTTTAGGGACTCTTTAGGCAATGTGCTTGTTCTGCCTTTTTCCTGTTTTTTTTTGTTTTGTTTTTTTTGTCATTAAGTTTAACTTAAAAATCTGGACTGCAAAAATGATCTGGATATAAGTAAAACATTTCTTAAATTAAGTGTATTTAGCCTTAATTTGAGCAGGTAATTGAGATGATTTGCCAATAAAATGTGTTTTATTACTCTGAAAACTAGATAATTAGATAATTTGTACTTAAAATAAGACAATGCAATTGTGTTTTTCTTATTTTGAATATAAATTGTATTGTTCCATTGGCAAAGTGTCTCGCCTCCTCGATTCAAGAACAAATGCACTTATTTTAGGAAAAAATGACTTAAGATGTACATTTTCTTCAGTGCGAGGACTGTAGAGCCTTAATGAAGCTCTATTTTAAATATTTTTTTTATTATACAGCTCGGCGCTGGATAGATTTTGCTCGTACATTTGTTTCATGGAAAATCAGCAGCTGCCTCAAAAAGTTTTACAGTTTTGAAAGTTCCCTCCCAGCTTTCTCAGATATAATATACAGCTTCAGCTCCTTCTCTAAAGTCCACGTTAATGTATAAAAAAAAATTATTAAATGATAAAAGCGTGATTTGAGGTTTGATTTAAATGTTTTTTAAGAACCTGACACAGACCCAGTCATTTTCATTACTCTTCAAACTACAGTGGTCTGCAAAAGTTTGGGCAACCTTGTTAATTTCCATGATTTTCCTTCATAAATCGTTGGTTCTTCGGATAAAAAAAATCTGTTAAATATATCATATAGGAGGCAAACAGTGATATTTGAGAAGTGAAATGAAGTTTATACCATTTACAGGAAGTGTGCAATAATTGTTTAAACAAAATTAGGCATGTGCATAAATTTGGGCACTGTTGTCATTTTACTGATTTTAAAACCTCTAGAACCAATTATTGGAAATCAAAATTGGTTTGGGAAGCTCAGCGACCCTTGACCTACATACACAGGTGAACCCAATTATGAGAGAGTATTTAAGGGGGGGCAATTGTAAGTTTCCCTCCTCCATGAATCTTCTCTGAAGAGTAGTGACATGGGAGTCTCAAAACAACTGTCACATGACCTGAAAACAAAGATTGTTCACCATCATGAATTAGGGGAAGGATACCGAAAGCTGTCTAAGAGATATCAGTTGTCCGTTTCGACAATTAGGAACATAGTCAGGAAATGGAAGACCACAGGCACAGTTCAAGTTAAGGCTCGAAGTGGCAGACCAAGGAAAATCACGGATAAACAGAAGCGAAGAATGGTTAGAACAGTCAAAGTCAACCCACAGGCCAGCACCAAAGACATACAACATGATCTTGCTGCAGATGGAGTCATTGTGCATCGTACAGCTATTGTGCGCACTTTACACAAGGAGATGCTGCACGCAAGAGTGATGCGGAGGAATCCTTTTCTCCGCCTACATCACAAACAAAGCCGCTTGAGGTATGCTAAAGCACATTTGGACAAGCCGGCTTCCTTTTGGAATAAGGTGCTGTGGACTGATGAAACTAAAATTGAGTTATTTGGACATAACAAGGGGCCTCAAGCATGGAGGAAAAACAACACAGCATTCCTAGAAAAACAACTGCTGCCCACAGTAAAATTTGGTGGTGGTTCCATCCTGCTGTGGGCCTGTGTGGCCAGTGCAGGGACTGGGAATCTTGTTAAAGTTGAGGGACGCATGGATTCCACCAAATATCAACAGATTCTGGAGACCAATGTCCAGGAATCAGTGACAAGGCTGAAGCTGCGCCGGGGCTGGATCTTTCAACAGGACAATGACCCTAAACGCTGCTCAAAATCTACTAAGGCATTCATGCAGAGGAACAAGTACAACGTTCTGGAATGGCCATCTCAGTCCCCAGACCTGAATATTATTGAAAATCTGTGGTGTGACTTAAAGAGAGCTGTCCATGCTCGGAAACCATCAAACCTGAATGAATTAGAGGTGTTTTGTAAAGAGCAATGGTCCAAAATACCTCCAACCAGAATCCAGACTCTCATAGGAAGCTATAGGAAGCGTTTAGAAGCTGTTATTTCTGCAAAAAGGGGATCTACTAAATATTGAGTTATTTTTTTTGATTGTGGTGCCCAAATTTATGCACATGCCTAATTTTGTTTAAACAATTATTGCACACTTCCTGTAAATGGTATAAACTTCATTTCACTTCTCAAATATCACTGTGTTTGTCTCCTATATGATATATTTAACTGATTTTTTTATCCTAAGAATCAACGATTTATGAAGGAAAATCATGGAAATTAACAAGGTTGCCCAAACTTTTGCAGACCACTGTAAAACCATAGAAGTTAATTGTTTTATTGAGCATAACATATTGGATTGTTTTCTACAGCAAATGAAACATACTTTTATGAAGTTTTCTCTCTACCTAGATTTCCTCCCTGGTTGTGAATCCATGTTTGTGAGTTTGAAGAATATTGGAGAAATCAACTCCACGGTTTTGCAAAGTGAACACCTTTCCACCATCACTGAGTTCCAAAGCCTAAACAGTGGCATAACAGGAATCGCTGCAAACGCCTTCAGCTCATTTTCAAATCTAAAAACTCTCAACTTGGATGGTAACAGCTTGACCAAAATCAACCAGAACTGGTTGGGAAACCCTGCTGCCCTCCATGAGCTGTCGCTTAATCGCAATCAGATTGAAGTTTTAAAGGAGTCGGACCTGAAGCGACTCACAAACCTTAAGAGTCTTAAGCTGAATGGAAACGGGATCCAAACCATCCATCCAGAGAGCTTCAGCTCCCAGAGTGTGATGGTTGATCTGGATTTATCTGAGAACATGCTGACCCGGCTGCCCCTTCAGATGATGGCTTCTCTAAGGTCCCTAACCTCCATTAGCCTTCATGGGAATCCCTGGAACTGCTCTTGTGATGCCCAAGCCTTTATTGCCTCTCTGAAAGGTTTGTGACGTGTGACACAAGTAGCTCCAGGTTTTTTTTAAAGTTTTTTACGACTAAAAGTTGTTCTCCGTTCTCAGAGTTGGACACATCTCATCTGGTGAATCCAGAGAGTATAACCTGTGCGACTCCTTCACAGCTGGAAGGTCGACCAATGTTGAAAGTGTCTGTTTGTTCGACGCCTCCAACACCAGGAACTCTGCCCTGGAATATGACCACTCTAACCAGTACATCTGTCTTTTAGTTTTACTCCTTTGCATTTGATTCAGAGGGGAAACAAACACTTTCCATGAAAAATCTGTGTTGATCTCACTTTACTCTGCAG